CAGTTTCAGCACCCTCTCCAGTTGCTCGATCATTACCATAAAGAATCCCCATTTTTTCATAATTTGGAAAATGAGTATTTTTCCAATATGCAGCTTTAGGTTTAGACTGCAAAAAAAATAAATGAATTAGTCACACAATAATTATAAAAAATTAATAAAAATATTTATAATAAAAAAACATAAAATTTTAAAACAAACCTCTATTAAAGCACTCCAAACTTCTGGTTCGGCATTCCATAATTGAGTAGAAGGGTTCCAAGCAAATCCACTCATACCATTTTTAAATATATCATAAACCTCAGAAAAAAAATTTCTTTAATATCTTCCAACGATTTTTTACTTTCTCTTTGTCAATGTTCATGCTAAAAATAACATTTAACTCCTTAACAATATTTTGATACGCCGTAGAAGTGAAAGAACCATTTACTTTGTTTCATTTATTGAACTCGTGCAAGAATGCATCAATGAGAGCACCATCTATTGTTGGTGTCCAGTTAAAATTAGTTGATGATTGTCTTTTAGATGACATGCTACTACTTAAATAATTATACCAAGATTAAAAATATTTCAACAAAATAAGTAAGATAATACACAATAAATTATTAATGAAAAGAATTCAATGTCACGAATACAACTAAAATTACCAAAAAAGAAAAAAAAAACTTATTGAAAAGAACAAAAGCTAAAATTAAAACAAAAGTGGAAAAATATATATAAAAAGTTGCATATTATTCATCTGAATGATGATCACGATTGATCTGACCACATTTGGTTAGCTATAGCATCTCTTACAAGCGCACCCTGAACCGTTTCATCACTTTCACTTCCTAAAGTATCATCGTTGCTATCAAACATAATTTGAGTATCAAGTTCAGCATCTACTTCAGCTATAAAATCTTCGTCGGGATCTATGCTCATAAGGTAATTGTGAATAATACAACATGCAATAATGATTTGATTTTGAGCTTTGATTCCATAAGTAGGCTATGTGGAATTTGATAAAATTGCAAATCTTTTTTTCAGTACACCAAACGCTCTTTTGATTGCATTGCGTAATAATGCATGACGAAGATTGAATAATTCTCTATAATTTCGAGGCGGATTCCATGTTGAATATTCTTTCAAATGGTAACGAAATAAATAAGTCTTTTTGTCAACATAAAGCCAGCATCAACAAAATAATATTTTCCTATAATTAACACAAATAATCAATATAATTATTTTCAATCAAATATAAATTATTAATATCACTTATCATATTAATTACCTTAAGGTATTTTGAGTTTATCTTCATGTGTTAATGCATTTTTAATAATTCTTGAATCAGAATCTGTGCCTTCCCAACCCGTAAGTACATAAGTGAACTTTAAGTCAAAAGTACACGTAGCTAACACATTTTGTGTTGAAAAATTTTTTCTACCACGATATCAAGGAGCAAGGGCAAAAGACACTTTAACACGTATATGTGTCCCATCTATGACACCCGTACAATCCTGACATTACATATTTTTATTAAAATAATATAAAATTTTTAAAATTATATAATTGCATACTAAGTGTTAATACCTTAAAGTAGGGAAAAAATCTACTACTTCTAGAGACTTCGAAAGGAGTAGTTGAGCCATTAGGTTGCACAAGAAACTTTTCTTTTAGTTCAATGGTAGCTTTCAACACTTGATGGAGATGACGGCTAATCGTCTCATTAGAGCGATGAAACCAAAAGTTAACTTCCCGGACTTTAGCATTGTGGGTTAATATATAAATGGCTTTCGCTACTTGTTCTTCCACACTTGACCAACGCGTTGGTTGCAATCCACCATCGATTTCTAACATTCGACACAATGATATGAAAGTTTGAGGATCCATTCTTAAAATATTCCTACTAGTTTCACTATTACTAATTCGTCCAATTATTTCTTCGTGTATTCTTTCTCGCTCCGCACTCAAACTATAACCTAGTCTCTTCTTGTTTTTCATTGTAATGAACTGATAATATGCAATGAAGCATGCAACTTGCACTAAAGCCCGTCGACGAATACCAAACCATCTTATAATCTCATTTTCCATCTACAAGTAAATAATAAAAAAAATGAAAAATATATACTATATATTTTCAGAAATATAGTTTCTTTAAAAAACTTGTTAAAGATTATTATTTATTACATAAAATAATAGAGTCTAGAAATCTATTGGGTTAAGAAATTTTGTAGACAAAATACTATACTTAATAGTAGACGATTAATCAAAATAAAATAAGTAAGAAAGCTGAAAATTTATTGTAAAAATTTAAACACCACAAACTAAACACATTGAACGTTCATTATATGAATATACATAATAGTGCGAATATAAAATAAAGAATATATCACTATTATAGATGTTTTTTATTTAAAAAATTAAATATTGTTAAATTAATATCAATAAATATACAAAGATTAATACAAAATATATTTTTCTTAAGAAATAATATTTTATTTTATTTTTAAAAAAAATAATCATAACTTTTCATATATATTTGTATATCACAAAATAAATTCACTCTTTTTTTATAAAAGAAAATTTTACTACTATATTTTATATCAAGTTTATTTTTATTTATAAATATACAGTAAATAATTTTAAATAAATAAGATGTTAAGAATATAACAATCTAACACTTAAATTAATTTATAGTATTAAATTTATCCGAAATTTTGTTTATTTTAATTTATTTTTATCTATTACTTAAAATTTTATTATTTTTAAAATATAATAAAAATGCAATGGTAATATTATTATTACGAACAACTACATATTTTATAAATAATATTATATTGTATTAATGGCGGGACCTATAATTATTTTTTAAAAATTAATAATAATAAATCAAGAGAAATTACGTTGAAATATATAATATCCGAAAAAATATTTTATTAGTGACTGAACCCACAATTATTCTTTTAGAAAAAAAAATTACATGTCAATTATTATTATAATAAAAAGTATAGGTAATTATTAAGTTATAATAATAATAACAACGTATTTGATAGGATGAACACTAATAATATATTATATATATACATAAAAAGAATTAACAAATGGAATGAAAGAAAAAGAAAAACGAAAATAGATAGAAAATATATATGTGATGATACTTTTTTTTTTTTTATTGAAAACAACACTTTATAATAATATGATTAAATAGAAAAATTCTATAATACAACATCGAATATGAAAAAAATATATAAAAAAAAATACAATCAGGCAATTCCTTGATTTTACCAAAACCTATGAAATAGCTTAAAGAATCAAATTAATTCAAAAATTGAACTTATCTATTTATTTGATAAAAAAAATAATAATAATAAGTAAAGAATGAATGAAAGAATAGAATACGTAGCTGAAGCGCGGATTGAGAGATTGAATGATAATTTAGTTAATCATACATCATATATTTATTAACATCACCAATATAGATAAACAATAATTTACTTATAAATAGTAACAATATAACAAAAAATCATATATAAATTATGTATATAATAAAGACCAGGTCTTCATATAAAATTCAAATCTACTTATATAAATTAAATTAATTATTAAAGTAAATCAAATCATTTAAACATAATTAATTAAAACATATACTTAATTATAAAATAAATTCGATTAAATTTATTTAAAAGTATTTTAAAATACATTTGAATTAAATTAATGTGATTTGTTTTAAATAACGTAATTATTTATTAAAATCAAAATAAAGAAAAATAATAATTTTATATACAAGTATAACAATAGATATGGTAAAATTTATATAATGTTATAAAAAATTAATAAAATGTTAAAAATGATATAATAGGCAAAACTTGTTTAATAAAATCCTTCTCCTCCAAATTCCCCCAAATTAGAGGGGAATAAAAATCTAAACAAATTAAATTCCCTCCCCTCCCTTCACTTTACCTCCTCTCTCAAAAAATTTGAACCAAATTTCAGAATTTCATCCCTTCCCCTCTCCTCCTAAACCCTCGAACCAAACGGATCTTTAGAGTCGGACAAATGTAGTATTATTTCTTAGGGGGTGTTTGGCAAATAACTTTTTGAAAAGCTTTTAGCTTATTGAACAACTCTTAGCTGTTTGGCTAGTAAAAAAGCTAATTTAGGTGTTTGGTAAATTAGCTTTTTGGAATAGTTTTTTAGACCAAAAAAGCTAATTTCTAAAAAGCTAACTTACCCATCGTTTTGAAATAGCTTTTTTTTTTGTAAAAAAAAAAATTTTATTCCTTATATGCTCTTAAAAATTTATTATACATTTTACACAAATAAATATATTTTGATTATTTATTAATTATATTAGAATAGTTTATTATATTATAGTTTTACTTTTATAAGTTTAAAATAATTAATTTTTATATAAAAATTATTTTAAACATTTGTTTTACCAAACATTTTAATACAAACAATTAATCGAATTAACTAGTCAAACCAGCTAATTGAATCAACTAACAGCTAACAACTATCAGCTAATTGCCAAACACACCCTAATATCTACTACAAAACTTAAAAAACTTTCATTGAATTAGAATCAATAGAGTATATTTTATTATATTAAATGGCATCAAAATTTTCGAAGCAAATTAAATATATATTTATTATATTAAATGGTCTCATAATTTTTTAGGCCAAATTAAAAATATATTTAATTATGTTAAATGATCTCAAAATTTTCAAATTCATATTAAAATACATTTTATTATATTCAATAGTTTCAAAATTTCTAAGATCATATTAAAAATATATTTCATTACATTAAATAGTTTTAAAATTTTCGAAACTATATTATAAATATTATTTTATTGTCTTGAAAAGCTTCGTAAATATTCGAAACCGTAAAAAATTCAAATTCCTACTCAAACTCCTCTCTCTCTCAAATTCCCGCTCAAACCTCCCGCACCCTACATACCTAAATTAAATTTGCATTTCCTTTCTTTCTCTCACCTTTCATTCCTCCTCTTCTACCTATACTGTATTCTTCTTTTTCCTTTTCCTTTTTCTTCTGCGACGGGGACGTTAGCGGAGGCGGTAGCAAGTCCTCGAGTACCTTCTGCGGCAGCGGCAGCCACAGAAGCTCCTCTTTCTTCTTATTCTTTGGCGGCGTCAGCGGAAGCCCCTCCTGTTTCTTCTTCTTATCTGGCAGCGGTGGAGGCGGAGCCTTCTCCTCTTTCGTTTTCTCCTCCGGCGACAGGCGTCGGTTGCGGTGGCAGTGGCAATGGAAGACCCTTCTTTTTTCTCCGGCGGCGGCGCCAGGACGACGGAGCCTCCTCATTCGCTGGCGGGATTGTCGCCCCTTCTTATATCTTCTTCTTTTCCGGCGGCGGTGGACGGCAGCAGTGCCTCCTACTCCTCTTTCGTTTTCTCCTCCGACGTCAACGCAGGGATGGCAACGACAACCCCTCATCTTTCTTATTTTTCTCGGACGGCGGTGCAGCAGCTGCCGGGGGGCAAGCAGTGGTGGGTCTCAATATATATAAATTTATTTTTTAAAAGAAATTTAACAAATACTTCGAAAATTTCAAAGCTTTTGGAAATAGTTTCGAAAAGTCCGAACCAACATAAATGACAAAATTTTTTCTCTTCTTGTATAATTCCGAGACAAAATTCGAAGTCAAAATTAAATCGAAGCAACATAAACTCTTTTACTTTCTCAAGCAATTTTTCCGAAGCCTTTTTAATAAATTCCGGTAGCGTTTATTTCACTGCATTAGCTTTTTTACTGCACTTTTTCCATTAAATTATAAAATATTAATAAATGTGAATTCATCTTGAAATATCATTTTCAGTTTGTAGGTATACAACTACTCTCGCCGTCGCCGGGATCGGTAGACAACACAATTATAATTGGTAGCCGTTGACACCAGCATTGACCAAATTGTGTGGACAAATGGGAAAATAAAAAAAAATACTCCCAAATCGGGGCAGCTTTGGCAGACAAAAGAACAATTCCAAATATGGGCATGGGGATTCAAAGCTACCAAAAGCACGTACATACTAATTAATTAATACAAAATATAAATCAAGGTTGCGACCATATACACATATATATATATATATAGATAATACTAACTCGAGTACTCGAGTGTCTTCGTTTCTCGTCCCAATATTTGTGCATTATTTCGGATCGGTCGTCAAGGGCATAAAATCGGCATAAAATCACCCGTTTCTAAATTCTCTATTCTCTCTATTCAAACCAATAAAAAAATGACACTTGGAAAAGAGGAAAAACAGAAACAATATAAATTTATATATTAAAAAAATATTTTAGAATTTACTAATTTTTTATTATATCTTTATTATTTATTAATTTTATTTTTTTAAATAAATAATAAAAACTTATATAATTTTTATTCAATTAATTTTCATTCTCAAATATTTATTATATTAATTTACTATAAAAATGTAATATTTTTTTTCTTAAAAAATATCACATTGAAATATATATGAATGATAAAATTGTAGTGCTATTAATTTTATAAATAATATGAGATTACATTAAAATATAAAAATTATATAAAAATATTTGAATACAAACTAATTTTGGATATAAATTTTATTTTTTATTTTAAAAATAGAATAAAATTAATAAGTAATAAAGTCATCAAGTAAGTCTGAAATAGAGGGAATGGGGAGGAATTGTGAATAGGTTATTTGATGCCGTCGTCAAGTATGTCTGGTTTTAATTTCATTGGCTGATTTCTATTGAAGAATCCGATCGTTACCAGAATTGAAATTATGAAGAACAGAAATCGGGGAAAGGTATCGCGGAGATGGATTTTGATCCTTTGTGTCCTCAGCTTCGGCCTCGGCGTGCTTTTCAGCAACAGGTATTTCACTCCATTCTCTATCTATCTATCTATCTATCTATCTATCTATATGATGAATCTATCAAGTCGATGCTAACATTATGGAATGAACTGAGGAATTCTATTCGATTGCATTGTATGGAATGTTGATATGAACAACGTACACGATTATTGAATGCTGTGACTGAATTTTCGATTAATATCGCAATAGCTGATTGTGTATGTTGTAGAATGTGGGCTCTTTCGCTCTTGGAGAATCAGAGTCTCTATCCGGGAGCAGGAGCAGGAACGGCATGTAATGGCTGTGAAGAACATAAGGTTTCCATGGAATATAATGGTTAATCTGCCAAAAGTTTGATGTTATGCTTAAATTCCTTAATCTAAGCTTTTTTGTTTGTGGTGTAGGAGTTGATTCGGAAAGAGGAAGTAATTAAAGAGTTTAGCAAAACGCACGAGGCTATCGAGTGAGTGTATATGCTAAATTAGATTTTGGGAAATGTGATCAATATATATATATATATATAGTTAGTTAGTAAAGGGGAAAAGGTACTTAAATGTTGTTAAGATCATTACGGGTTTGTTAATTAACTTTAGGTTCGATATGTTGCTTGGTTGATCAGATCATTGGATTCTTCTGTTTCTAAATTATGCTCGGAGCTGCCATCCATTAATAAGGCCTACAAGGTCGAAAACAGTGAGAACTCAACACACTTTTCAGCCTACAATGGCTATAATGCAATGAAGAAGAAGAGGGCATTCATGGTCATTGGCATCAACACAGCATTTAGCAGTCGAAAGAGGCGCGATTCTGTAAGAGAAACATGGATGCCTCGAGGTGCCTTCTTTAGTCTCAATGTGCTCTTCTTCAACCTTATTATTCGAATTTGTTTCTTTTTTCTTCTCTGCTATGTTTAATTTGATTAGGCAAAAGACTGTTACAACTTGAGCAAGAAAAGGGAATCATCGTTCGATTCATGATTGGCCACAGGTATATATATATATATATATATAATGCGGTTGTTGTTAGGTTTATCTAATTGTGTGCACTAAACATTTTTTTATTTCCGAAGATTTAGGCCATTGCCAACAATTTGTCTTGGAAATTTTCTTGTAGAGGAAATGAGTAATTGGATAATGTAATTCTAACTCTTTATGCAACTCTGAGCTCATCTCTTTCATTTTGGAATTCACTCATTATGAAAGGAATGTTGTTTGTAAAAACCGCGTTCTATCATCATCCTTAAAAAAGAACATGTCATAATATGTATGTCAGCGCAACATCGAACAGCATTTTGGACAAAGCCATCGATTCTGAGGAATCCCAGCATAAAGACTTCCTTAGGCTTGTAAGATTCATACATTGCTCGTATCATATATATTTATAGTAGCTAGCTAGCTGGTTACCACTTTTTCTTGGGTATTGAGTAATGATACTGTACTATCTTTCAGGACCATGTTGAAGGATATCATGAACTATCGGCCAAGACAAAATCATTCTTTTCAACTGCAGTGGAAATATGGGATGCTGAGTTTTATGTGAAGGTGGATGATGATGTCCATGTAAATTTGGGTATTAAACATCTATATATGAATGACTTCATTTTAAAAGTATCCTTAAGCTTTTATATTCATGCAAATGAGATTCCTTTATTTATAAATATATGTATATATGCAAAGGCACTTTAGCGGCAGCCTTGGCACGCCACCGGTCCAAGCCTCGAGTGTACATAGGATGTATGAAATCTGGACCGGTTCTGCATCAAAAGTAAACAGCCAAGCCAAGACTTTTTGTTTTATTAGCTTAATTAGTTCTATTAATCTTGATCAATATATTTATATTTGTGATCTAAGCATGAAGAATATTAATATATATATATATGTATATATTGTTGTTGTTAATTGTAGGAACGTTAAGTACCACGAGCCGGAGTATTGGAAGTTTGGAGAGGAAGGGAACAAGTACTTTCGACATGCGACTGGACAGATATATGCTCTGTCCAAGGAACTTGCACAATATATCCACAATAATCAGTAAGTATTATTAATTTAGACATAAATTCTTTACATTTTGTAATTATATATAGAAATAAATGATTTATAATGAATAATTTCAGGTTGATTTTGCACAAATATGCTAATGAGGATGTAACTCTGGGTGCATGGTTTATCGGTCTTGACGTAATGCACATGGACGATCGCAGCATGTGCTGTGGAACACCTCCCGGTTAGAGTTGATTGATTAATTTAATTGGATCTTATTAATTAATTAATTATAGTTAATAATGATGATGATATAAATATATATATATATATATATATACAGATTGTGAGAAGAAGAAACAGTCGGGCAACGTTTGTATTGCAGCGTTTGATTGGAGCTGCAGTGGGATTTGTAGATCTGTTGAGCGAATCAAGGAAGTTCATTCCAAGTGCAGCGAAGATGCCGCCATTCTTTGGAATGCTCTGCTCTAGCTACTATTACTATTACTATTTCCATTTTGCATGCAGCCAAAACCAAAGCCGGCAGAGCACTTACTTGATTAGATTCGGTCAAGATTTTTCCAATGCGTACTTTCTGATTGCGGTCGACAAATTCTCACCGTATGAAAAAAAAAAAAAAAAAAGAAAACCAACGCTAGCATAGCAGATTAATTTATTATTTAATTAATTAATTAATTATTAGGATGATATAGAGAGAGATTGAGGAAGCCCAAAATCATCGAAATATATTAGCTGAATTAATGTAAAACGACAATATTTTGTAATTATTGGTTTGTTTGAACAGTATGTATGTACGTACTTCGTGCCTCCATTGGGTAACTAACCCTAAATCACCTTAATAAATGAAAATTTTGAGAATGAGAATTTTATGTTTATCAATATTTTGAACACGAAAATCATGCCAAGTTACATATTTGAAATACTTGAATAATTTGGAAGATGTAGAATAATTAATTTTTTTTTTAAAAAGTAAATAGGTGGCTCTTGATTAGAATATTAAAAGACTTATTTCACTAAATCTATTAAATTCTATATATATATATATATGTAAATATATTTAACTCCAATATTGTCTTTCTTAAACTAAAGAAATTATTGTGTTCCTAAATTTTTCTTGAACATGGATCCTTCAACTAATTTTATTAAAATGTTTGTTAGTTCTTTACTTTGATAACGTACAATAATAACTCATATTTCAGCGACAAATCCTCTTAGAAAATAGTATTGTAAGCATATATGCTTTATTTTTTGATGCAATATGGGATCATTTGAGATATATTGTAGAGCTATTGTCACAATAGACAATCCTAAAATCAATTTTCCTAACTTTTAAAAATTCCTCTTTAACTACAAAATTTGAGACCCTGCCAAAGCTATTACTATATATTCGGGCTTAATGGTAGAAGTCGCCACGACTAGCTATTTCTTTGACACCATGAAATAACTCCACTTCCAAAACTAAATACGTAGTTTGAAGTGCTTCGTGAATCATCAATATGCTTCCACCAAGATCACAATTGGTATACCCAACAAGCTTCACGTGCACACTATCGATGGTCCATTCAACATAATGCAAGATTATCTTTGTAGTTTCCGAATGATTTGAATATTATTTCTTCATAAACCTCTAAGCAAACACATTCTATCCGCATTGTTGGGTCTTAGCATCAAATTTCTAGTAACGCGTCAAAATGGAGTAGGGTTCATAAGCTTTCCTTCACCATTTATACTCAATTTTAGACTGATGCAAAGAGTAGGGATATGATCGGCATTCTTCGTGTTAATTTTTTTTCAATAACTGAACTACATATTTTTCTTGTTAGATGCACTTCTTGTTAGATGCATATGACTCCTTTTAAATGTAACACATTTATGTCCAAAAAATGATGTTATTCTCCCAAGTTGATCATTTCAAATTCCTTCATCATTGACATCTTGAAGTTTGATATCATTAGCACGTTATCTCCAGAAATGATAAGATTATCAGTGTATAGACTCAAAATTACCAAGCATCAATTTCAATTTCTCTTTATATATAGGTTATGTTCAAGAGGACATCTCTCATAGCCACGCTTCACAAAAAAACTATGAATTGGATCATACCATGATCGTGGAAATTGTATAACTCGTATAATTTTTTACACAACTTATATGCCTTTTCTTTTTCACCTTTAAGAACCCAATAGGTTGTTTAAAATGAATTTCATCGTGAAGAAAATCATTCAAAAATGTAGGTTATACATCCATTTGAAATACTTCTAACTATTTTGAACATAAAGGAAAATTATCAATTGAGTGGGACCGAATTTATTAAACATTTTTTTTTTTTTTTTTTTTTTTTCAGTCTCCCCAGGTTTGGAAAGAAATTTAGTATAATAACATATCTCATGGGAATGATGGATCAATCAACAACAATGAGAATAATTGTAGTTTATACCAAACGTTATTTATGAATTCACCACCACATTATGTTGGGAATCAGCTTATATGTTCGATGATGTAGCAAGAATCTTTATTTGAGAAAAGAATGAACTCGAGTTTTAAGGTATTTTGAGAAAGTGGATGATCGGTAAAATCATGGTAAAAAAATGGCCTACGATAATAGGGTTTAGCGAAAAACCGGAGAGGTACACCGTTGAGGGTTCAGATTGCGGCACTTGAGAAACATTTTCAAACATTTCCATTACTTTTCTAAATTTACGGCGATCCATAGGGTGTTTGCTCTGAAGATTGTCCAATTTTCTTAGGCCTTGGTATGTCATACTATGAGCTAATGGACCTATTACCCTTATTAAATATGATCAAGTGACCATATTGAACATGCACATATGGAAGGTTTCCCTGCTATAGCGGATGATTGAGTAATTGGAAAATCCGAGTAAGCCCGATTAAGCCCAATGACGGGGGACTTTCCCTTCCCGAGCTTCTTCGTCCCTAAGCTAGGCGATCTCACTATGAATCATTGACTTGAGGATATTGATCAAATACCGAAAAATTGTAACGCTGAATCGTGCAATGATGCCTGAATTTTTCTCCATATATGATTCTAAACTACACTAGTTGGTCTTCATTTTCAGCCATTGCCGAAGCCTCGTCATGTAGGGTATCACCGATGACATGTTGTGGCAAAGTTTCTTCAACAACTGCTTTATCCTCTAACATGCCAACATTCTTGGATGGTGTCGTATCTGTCAACTTCGAGTCGACTTCTAATTCTTCAATGGCATATAACATATCAGACAGTGGTGTGTTTGTTTGTGGGTTTGGGATTTTGGATTTGGATTTTTAAATAGTACAAAGTTGAATTTAAATAGTTGTTTGATGTGATATAAATATATATTGATGTGATATTTTGAATATAAAATAAATTTGTAGTATAATTGTTGAGTACAAAAGTAAGATTAGTGTTTGAGCCCAAGAAAGATGAATAGGTGAACCCAGTGATGGCCCAGTCGTGGGCCAGATCCAGTCGGTCAACAGATCAGACGGTTGGTCTTGTAGACAGTAAACTTATCCGAGTTTGGGTCTTGGAGCGGTTGGTTACAAAGGTCACCGACGTGGAAGTGGTTTTGGACTGTTCAGAGTGGTAACCGGCGTGGAAGCGGTTTTGGATGGTTTAGAGTGGTAACCGACGTGGAAGCAGTTTTGGACGGTTCAGAGTGGTAACCGACGTGGAAGTGGTTTTGGACGGTTTGGATTGGTAACCGACGTGGAAGTGGTTCTGGACAGTTGAGATTGATGCGTATATTAGCAACTCAAATGAGAAGGAGCGGGCATCTTCAGTCAGAAAAAATTTCAAGAATCTCATTGGGGGTCATCTTGGGAGTCAAGGCAAAATTGTTGATCCTACGTCACGGTTTTAATACAAATTGGTGATTTTTTACAAAAAAGTCATGGAAAAATATATGGAACCATTTCCGTGGAATTTTGCTGGTGACTTTTTCTTAAGTGGTGACATTTTTGTGACAATAAGTTATAGAATAATACCATGATATGTCCGTGACTTTATATAGAAACAGAAGCTGTAACAAAATGTTGTGAATATTTTATAATGGTGACATTTTCATGACAATAAGTTACAAAATAATACCATTACACCTCTGTTACTTTATATTAACGAAAGTTGTAACAATTCCGTGACTTTATATTTTTGAAAAAATAAATATAATTATATTATAATTTTTGTTCAATGCAACTACACACAATTATTTTTCTGCAAGAGACTTACACGACCTGTCATGGCAACTTAACTATCTACTCTAAATTATTAATTTTTGTTTGTTATTATATTTTAACTATATAAATATTATTGATTATAAATTTATCTTTTAACAATATATACATATTTATTTAATATATCATCATGAATTTTTAACAAAAAATTGAATAGCTACGAACGATATTGAATAAAGATATTGAAGATGATTTTATTATTTTGTTATTACTTTGAATAGCTACGAACGATAATAAGAAAAATTTATAGTTGTTTTCGTTATTTATGTTGTCACATTTGATTTTAAAAAGTCACAAAAATTATACTATGACAATATCTGTAATAATTTAAAATGTTGCAAATATTTTGGTTATTTTTGCCGCAACTTAAAATAGTAAAGAAAAAATTTCGTGACAATTTTTGTGACGAAATAGTAAAAAAATACGGAATAGAAATATCTTGGACATTTTCGTTACATAAGCCGTTATTTTAAATAGTCACGGAAAGTTGTTTGTAGCTTTTTCTGCAAATATTACTTATGGATGTAACACTGTACATATCTGCAAAAATAGGGGGATTTGGGGGTGGATTGGAGCCCCTACCCCCATTTTTTGTATAACTCATTGCATGCAATGGGTTGGAGATAATCTTAGGGAAAAGATCTTGGGTTGGAGAAAAGAGATGGCAGTTACTAAGTTTGTTTTAATTAAACTTTTTTAAAATAAATAAATAATAATATAGATTGAGAGGAAGAGACCTGAGTTTGGACACATCAACTTTTTGAAAACTTATTTTCAATAAGACCGTATGCTCTTAACTCGATAGTTACATTTTAATAATGTGCTGAAGGGTTAAGATTTACTCCAACTGTCACGTCAATGTAGTAATGATTTGATCATTTTATTATTAAGTTAAAATATACTCAATTAAACTTTTTTATTAATTTGAATAATGAAAAACACAAACAAACAAGAATTTAAAATTGGAATGAAATTCTCCCTGTTCCTTTGTGTCTATTTCAAACTCCAATCACGAAGACGATCAACGACTCTTTCCGCGGCGGAGTCCTCTCGACGGCGGCAGCGGCTGGCGATGTTAGAATAAGAAGGAAGAACACTAAGAGAAAACAAAAAACACAAGAAGATTTTTTCGGTGGAGAGGAGAGGTAACTAGAAGAGAAGATACTTGATTGATAAAAATGATTTGCAAATTACAACTATTTATAAGACGTGAATTCTACATACCAATACCAATATTAATTTTACCTACCAACATAGAAAATCACAAAATAGACTTTGTTCAATGCATTAGTTGGTAGGCCACCTACTCTTCCACCAACCCCCACCAACTATCATTGGAAACAATAAAGG